GGGACAGGTTAAGTGTCAGCTACTCAAGCCTTCCTTCTCGCCTCCAGACCCTTTTGACTCTGTGTTCATAAACCTCACACCAAACGGTGTTCCTGATGTGGCAGGTCCCCGGAAGGAAACCCGGTAATAACAGCTATGCTGGCCAGGAGCTTTTCATGAGGCTGGCACTATGCTAGGTGTCTCACGTATCTGACTCATCTTTGATCACCCAGCTGTAAGGCAGGTTCTTTTCATCCCCATTTTACAGATGAGGGAAACTGAGGCCCTGAGAGCTAAAGTGACACAGCATAGGAAGGGAGAAGTGCACTGAGCCCACAGATTTATCACCAGAACTGACTCTTCACCATGACTTGATGTGGCCTGGACTGCAGAGCTGCCTGGACATTCCCATGCCATCCTCAGAGAGGCAGGCGTTCCTTAGCAGTAATCCACAGAGGGCCTTAGTGACGATCGTGACAGTGACAGGTACGCTCCCGTCAACGCCTCCCTCCTCTGGTCAGCCTGTTCACCCATCCTCTCCCTGGGCCTTTCACCACCTGGGCAGGGAGGCAGGGGAGGCAGACGCATTCTTCATTCCCATCCTGCAGACAAGGAAACTAACCTGGCCAATGGCCACACCACACCCTGGCTCTAAACTTCCCGATCCTTCCACTGGTTCACAGGCAAAACCGGCCACATAATTTGCAGGGCCTGGTGCAAAATAAAAATCCAGGACCCCCTGTTCAAACATTACTAAGAATTTCAAGACAGTGACAGCAGTGCCTTTAACTGAGGGTGAGGCCGGCCCTGTTTGCAGAACATCCTTCCTGGAAGACAGCGGGCACTGCCTGCCAGAACCCAGTGGCTCAGACCAGGCTGCCCCATGGACTATGACAGAAAGGGGCAAGCCGAGGGTCCTCCTGGGAATAGCACCCTTACTGCCTGTACCTCAGTCTCCTCATCTAAAAGGCAGGCTGAACAGGCCTACCATGTTGGGCTGCTGTGTGGACAAAACTGATACAAAGACTGCGTGGACACGGTTCACCCCGTGTCCTATGCCTCCTGAGTGCCTGTATTAGCCAACTCTGTTTTTAACAACACTTCCAGCTCTTGAAATGGGGGCGGAAACAAGACCCTCTCCACCAAACGCTTGAGCTCTGCACACATGTGCTGTGTATCAGCAGGAGAGCCCCAAGTACAAGCTTCATTTGCATGCAGACAGGTAGGCCCGATCCAGGTCCGAAACTGCCTCTCTGCCCTAGGCTCTCCCAGGTGGAGATGGAGAAAGACGAAAATAAACAACATGGCAAAACGCACGGGTGCAACACACCTACCCAGAGCAAACCCAGACAGGGGCACGCAGGGAAGCCCAGTCTCTACCTCCTTCCTTCCTTCTTTCAGAACCATACTGACCTAAGACTCTGGGCACCTGCCGGGTGAGCTGAGCGCCGGCCATTTCTGTCCTTGCTCGAGTGCTGGGGTGAGAAGTTCGCATGCATATGCATACTTCACAGTCTGGGGCATTCATTTGTGTGTCTTCCACATTTCCTTTTGGGGGGCAGATGGGGACTGGCTCAGCCTGTCCCTCACGGTCCTTCCGGACTCTCTGCCCCAGAACCCAGATGAATGGGACAGGGAGGATTACAGGATTACAGCCTTTCTTTACAGGAAGGCTGAGGAGGAGGAAAGGCAAAGAAAAACCCAGGAATACACTGCCCAAGACCTTCAGGGCTTCAGCACTGCTGTTGAAGACCTGGGTTCTGTCTATAAAGTCAGATTCAAACCCTGGGTTCAAATCCTGGCCCACTGGTTCAGTGCTGTCGAACACCGCAGTGAACACTTATTAACTACCTGCTACCCTGCCAGGGGCTGTATTAAGTGCCTCATCTCATCTTTACAGTCCTTGAAGCTGCTGAGTGGGGTAGCGGCCTGAGGCATCTGATGACCCAGTGGGTGGAATTTGGGCTCCAGAGCTGATTTCTTCACTGGGACACAGACATGAAACTTCTCTACCAGGCCGTGGTGATGAATGGGCCCCTAGAAACATGGGGCACTGCAGCCCAAGGGGCCAGGGACATGAGAAAGAAATCAGCACTCACATATTACCATGGCATCATCACAAAGGGTGGCATATGTTATCACTAGTGTTACTGTCACTAGTCTATGCCAGGGGAAACTGAGGTCCCAAAGGAGAGTCCCAGAGAGGATGAGAATCGCTGTCCGCAAATCCACCGCTGTGCCTCTGAGTTTTCGAAAGCGTCATCCTCGAATCGCCCCAGACAACGATCCCACAGAAACACGGAAATGCAGTGCCTCCTGACGCCTGTCTGCTTTAACCCAGGCCTGGTTAGTTAAGGGCTGGAGTGAGGTGCACAAAAGTCCTCGGGGAAGGCTGGTAGCCTCCGGGAAGGGCCCTGGTGCTGCTGCCTCAGGCTAGGAGGCCACCCCTCCCCTCCAACAGGCGGGTGGCTTTAGACCCTGCCCAGAGAATGCTCTCTGGAGCCCTGCACTCTCACCTGCACATTTGTCCCACTGGCTGGCACTGTTTCCTCTCTGGTCCTCAACAGAGACAGACCTGGTTCTCTCCTGAAATGGCTACATGTCCTGTGCCCAGCACATTGCATGGTACAAATGACATGCTCGTTGCGGGACATGGTCCCGCTGGAATGATCTGGAAGAAGATAGCTCCTTCTAGACCCAAAAGAACAGGCAGCAGAGAGGAGTGGCTCCGGGTTAGACCCACTTAGATCCAAATCCCAGTTCAGCGGTGTGGTCCCAGGCAGGACCTCTCCCCAGTTTCCATCTCCAGTTTCTGTCTGGGTGCAAAAGGGATGACAGCATCCATCCCTCGCAGGGCTGCTGTGCGGCTTAACAGAGGCGACTCTGCATGGGAAGGCGTTCAACCTCAGAGCTCAGCACACAGCAAGCGTGTCATAAAAGGGAATTGTGATTTTCATTACACCTGGTAGGACAAACCCACAGAATCTGCCTGGCCAAATGGACCAGACTAGTTCCCCGAAACCCTGAAACCTTCCCCTGGCTAATGACCTTTACCAGCCAGGGGCTTTGTCTGAAATCCTGTCTGGGGCTTCCCTGGACAAGCTCCGAGAAGTCCCTGAGAAGGCTCACAGCGACCCCTGCTGTCTGCGACGAGAAACTGCCTCACATCCCCAGCTGGAGTGCACAACAAAAGCAGGTAGGGCCCTCCATGCAGGGCTTATGTTTCCAGGGGTTTAAGAAAACTCTCCTCAAAACAATGGCAGGGAGAAGAGTCACCACATGTAATTATGTTCAGTGGACACTAATTCCCTGTCTTCTAAAAATAAATATAATACGTGAGATCAAACGAAGTGCTCTGTCTTCCCTTGCGGTCTTTTGTTTCCCTGGATAAGTGTCATCCTAAATATACTGCAGAACCAAGTGAAACTGTCATTTCGGCGGGATATTATTTCCCCATCAACATGCGCCCTTCTTACAAGCCCATTTTAATCTGGCAGTTCTTAAATTGGACTCCTTTTAAAGAGCAGAGCATGTTAAAACAAGCAGACACACCGAGCAGCTACGGATATGTACCTTCCTGGAGCGACGACCTGATGTATTCCTCCACTGATCAACCGAGGTTTGGGGAAATGGGAAACCTCCCCCCCAAGTCATGACCCCATCTCTCCGGGCTGTTCCTGCTGCGTAGGGTACCTGGGGATCAGAGCCAAGATCCTGCTTCCCAGATATAGGCAGGAAGGTTCCTGCCTCAGCTCCCAGCTCACCACACACCATGTCTGTTCATGAACTGCATACCAGTGTGATTTACAGCAAACAGGGAAAAAGAGGATGAGGATTTTTCAAGTTCCCCAAATGGTTTCTTATTCTTTACACTACAGAGTGAGAGCAAAGAGGGTAGATGTCATACAAAGATAATTCTTTCTCATTTCCAAAACACAAGACTTATTTTGTAACCACAGTTTACCTTGCAAGATGCTAACTGGCAACTCTAACAGAGGCTTCACTCTTGGATCCTCATGCAAGCACAGAACAAAGGAGCGAGACCTAGTATGTAGAATCCTAAATATTCACCCACACGCAGGCCATGGTGCTGCAGGTCCCCCAAGGTGTCCTGGATCCCACCCAAGCCTCAACAACGTGTTTGGGTGACGCCAACGTCATCTGCATTATATTCTGAGGGCTAGTCTCTCTCCTATCCCGCCCATGGCTGGGGAGGACCTTGGCTTCAAGCATTTCCTTTTCATGCCCTGATATAAGAACACGTCTTTCATTGGGGGCTTGGTGCTGGGTGATGCCTGCCTAATCTGAAAAGCCAAATACTGTTAACACGCCGGTGTAGGGTTCACCAACTAGGGGCCCTGGGGTAGGCCAGACTGTCGTTTTTAAAAAGTGAATTAGTTGCTGATGAATTCCCCTTAAGAATTAAGAATCCACATGGCTAGTTTCTCTTTCAAAACATGAGAATTAGTCTTACGAAGCCCGAGTCCTGTGTGGCATCCAGCTGGATGAGCAGAGAGAGGCCCTCCCACTGCTCAGTGCCCACCTAGCCTGCTGCCATTGCCTGCTGAATCGAGGCAGCTGTGTTTTCCACCCCTGTGCAAGCAGGTGCTGGGGGGCTGCTTTATGTGTACAGGTAACTCATCTTCATTTCCATAGAGCCATTTAGGCCAGTGGTCCCCAACCCTGGCTTGATGGACGTTAGGATCCCCTGGGGAGCTTTTAGCAAAACACCGATGTCTGGACCCCACTGTTGAAAAATGGAAACCAGCTCTCTGGGGGTGCGGCCTGAACAAAGGTATGTTTTAGCAGTCGCCAGGTGGCTGGAATGTGTGGCTAAGGTGGAAAACCAGCATCATATGAGATTAAGGGAGATAAATCAAAGGCAGCCAAAAGATGACCTTTGAAAGATCACTGCGTGGGGCTGCAGCGGAACCATCCAGGACCCAAAGGCCACTTCTCCGAGACTCGGGCAGGCTCCCTGCCCGCATGCCAGTCCCCTGGCCTGAACGAGTGCCTCTCACCTGAAGAGCTCTCGGATCTCCCGGCTGTGGGCCTGGAAGGGGATGTTCCGCACCAGGATCTTGGAGGTGGTCTGCTTTCTGGGAACTTGTTTCTTCCGAGCTGATGTCACGGCTGGCCTGGAGGGTGGAGGGGAAAGGGTTCCAGTTATTCGGGGCTTCAGCAGCTCCTGCCCCACACTGGCTCCACTGCGCCTCCATCAGAATATTCAGGTGATGGATTCAAGGAGTGTGCGTGGGGTTGGTGGGGCCAACATGAAAGGACAGGAAGGCCGTCTCCCACTGGTGGTAGGACCCAAAACAGCTGCAGAAGTCAGGGGACACATCCAGGCTTAGGTGGCTGCTGCTCTTCATTTGAGAGACTCTGGGGCCACCAGGGCCTTAAGGAGCCCGCTAAGGGCGGGGCTGGTTTCTCACCAAACCCAATCTCTGTTGTGCCTTTCTCTCCAGATGCAAAGACCCTGGTTGGTTTCCAAAGGTCTTGTTTGTGACACTTTGTTGAAAACCCAAAGAGCATGTGGGGGCCTAACCATGGAGATGGACCAGGTGTCTTCTTGTTCTGGGGCTGTGCTCATACAGTAGCCATCAGCCACATGTGGCGAGTTAAATCTAAATTAAATGAAGCAAAACTAGGCTGGGTGCGGTGGCTCAAACCTGTAATTCCAGCACTTTGGGAGGCCGAGGCAGGCGGATCGCCTGAGGTCAGGAGTTCAAGATCAGCCTGGCCAACATAGTGAAACCCTGTTTCTACTAAAAATATAAAAATTAGCCAGGCATGGTGACAGGCACCTGTAATCCCAGCTACTTGGGAGGCTGAGGCATGAGAAGCACTTGAACCCAGGAGGTGGAGGTTGCAGTGAGTCAAGATCACACCATTGCACTCTAGCCTGCCTGGGTGACAGGGTGAGACTCAATCTCAAAAAAACAGAAGCAGCAAAATTATAAATTCACTTCCTCGGTTGCTGGGGTATCAGCCTCCAAGATGGTGCTCAGTGATCCCTTGCTCTTGGTGTTCATGTCCCCTGTAATCCCCTCCCACGCTGTATCGGGGCAGGTCTGGGTGACTTGCAGGATACAGCAGAGGGATGGTGTGTGAATTCTAAGACTAGGTCGCAGAAGACATTGTGGCCTTGTTCTTCCCCATTCTTGGATCACTCACTCCGGAAAGACCAGCTGCCATGCCATGAGGACACTCCAGCGGTCCCAGGAAGAGATTCCTGAGGTGAGGAACTGAGGCCTACTGCCAGCAGCTATGTGAGGGTGTCACCTTAACGACAGATCCACCTGCCCCAGCTGAGCCTTCAGATGACTGCAGCCCTGGCCGATATCCTGACTGTAACCTCACGCGAGACCCTGAGCCAGAATTCCCAGCTAAGCTGCTGCTGAATTCCTGACCCATGAAACAGTGAGAGGATGTTTCGTTTTCAGCTGTTAAGTTCTGGGATACTTTGTGATGCAGCAACAGAGAGCTACAACAGTTGTGCTTGCCACGTCTCAAGGGCTAAATAGCCACATGTGGCAGCTGGCTACCGTCTTGGGCAGAGATGCAGAGCATTTCCACTGGCGCAGAATCTTCTACTGAACAGCACTGCCCTAGGGGGTCAACTCCCAAGGAAAAGCCATCCCCAGTGCCTAGGAGGAGTATGTGGTACGCAGTGGGTTTGCTGTAATTCTTTCTTGCGTAAAACAATGTTTCCATGAACACTGGCTAGGAAGTGAGACCTGCAAGGCTGAATTCGGGCTGGATCTCTGGAGACAGCGTACTGGAAAGAGATCGCTGGCTCCGTGTTTACGGGCACTGAAGGTGCTGGGCGCTTAACACACAACCTCTGGTTAGCACGTTTCACTTCAGAGGCAAAGTCACCCACTCAAGGTCACAGAGCTCCTGGATTAGAATCTACAGGTGTGGGGCTCAAAGGTGTGGGCTCCTTCTGTTACAGTGGCAGCTCAGGAACCCCCACCAGACTCCTGAGGGCCCCCGTACCAACGATACTTAACATAGCACAGACCACAATGGGTAAAAAACACCAGAGCTGGCCCAAGCTGGATTCACAAGAAGCGTTAACAAAGGAGAGAAGGAAAAAGAAAGGTCAATTCGCCGGCAGCTAATTTGCTGGATGACCACAACAAATGACCCACTTGTTGAAAACAGCCAAATAAATATCCGAAACCAGCTCGAGGACTGTTGGAGGCAGTCATTTTATCACCCGAAGCAAGTGGATGATAGTGACAATAAGGGCTTGCGCTGGGCACCTGTTATGTGCCGGACACTTGCAAGCACCTCGGGTGTCATAGCTCATTTAGATGTACGAGCAGGTGGAAATGGAGGAGCAAAACTGAATCTCCAAACAATCCCCTACTTCAGCATACTGGTCATTGGGCAAATTGGTCTGCCTCCATCTCTAACACCTACGGAATCTCTTTCACATTAGCTGGAGGCTGGATTAGGCACTGTCATTCAGCCCTAAGAAAGCACGTCCCGCAAAGTGGAACGTCTAGGTTTCATAGCTGCTTCTCGTTTGTCCACAGCACCAGCAATCACCAGCTCTTTGCCTGTTTCTCCTGCACTTGTTCCTTTTCTTATTTAAATAAAAAGACAAGTGCGGCTGGGTGTGGTGGCTCATGCCTATAATCCCAGCACTTTGGGAGGCTGAGGCAAGCAGATCACGAGGTCAG